ACCGATTTCATTGCACGTGTACGTAGCATTGTCACCTGCATACAATGCTGTGTTTACGGGGACACATAACAATGAGAAAACGACATGAGGTGAATAATTTCTGCGTAACAGACGTCTTACATGGTCATTTTTAAATGAATCTTACTAAACAATACTACGGGAGTTTCGCCACACTTCCATAAACTTGTCCTGTTATTGTCCTTCGACAATGTCGGCACATTCACAGGACTGTCACCCCCATGGATCGAATGGTATTGTCCTATTGTTAAACGCTAATCAAAATTAGTAAACAACATGGCGGACTCGACTCGCTGGAATGCCCGGGCGTTGATCATAAAAAGTGTGGATAGCTGCTTGAATTTGCCACTCTGTTTCAAATTGTGAGCGTAAACGAATATTATACAGTACAAGGATTGCTGCCGCTGCCCTGCGCGTTAGGTATTCCCCCTGTTCACTTCCGCGTGTGCCCAGACACTCCCTCGCGTGTCCGTAGTAGTAGGACCGCCATTTTGAGGGAAAGCTTATTTTTATTTCCTGACACATAGTGCTGGTGGGGGTTATAGTGATTACTCGGTACCATTATTCATCCATTCATACATCCTTCCATTTCCATACGATGTCATATCTGGAGCATGGTATATTAAAGTCATTGTTGATCTGATCAGCATATGTGTATTCATTGACCGTATATGGTCATACGATCTCATTAAACATGCATAACTATCCTATCTTGAGCATTCTCACAGTCGGAGCTACATCACGATCCACCAAATGTTGCTAGGACCAATCACAAACAGGAAAAGACGACGAATTTACAGATTAACACCTCTGTTTTCCTCCACGTTAACCAACTTTCCCCCATGCTAACAAAAAAATCTTTTGCCTTCTACTGACTTCCTGTTCCGGTTTGTCTGTGAGAATTAGTGCAGATATAGACATTCAACCAATACATTATTGAAGACATTGGGCGCGCAATCTGATCAACGTATTTAATAACTATATGTTGTCATGTGACCTAATGCGTAATATGCACCATTGGAACACTATTGCAACTAGTGCTTAACTTTGTTTCGCATCTTCTGATGTGATTAGTGGTTACAAGTATGGTAAAAATGGTCTTACAGTATTGAATGATATCCTTTTATAGCAATATATTTTTACAACCTATTTGCAACAAGTACTCTTGACTGAAATGCTCAATAACGTTATTGGCACACTACAAATCCATTGACCATTGCCAATTCTGAATTACATTAGCATAAGCCAACTGTGCTTACTTTTAACACCCATCAACAAAAACTGCTCCGATCAATTGTACCGGTAATAACGATTAAGTTCTGTCATCTCTGAAGGCTTTCTTTGATGCTATTTTTCAGTCAGATTCATGAAAATGGAAAGGTTACCAAGTTTTGAGTACGACAATCAGCTACAGGAAATCATAGAGACAGTCTTACAGACAATTTAACAAACACAGAATAGACACTGTTCTCCCTAAATGTCATGCTAAATGCTAAATATCAAAGCATGGTGACAAAGTTGTCTGTTGAAAATATGTGGTTTGCATACAGAAATGTTGTTAGGATGCTAGAAGGTAGTACAGTCTTATAGTTTTAGTGATTAGCTTTTGTGAGAGTCGCAATATCTTTCTAAAAATAGAACCGACTTAACCTTTTCACCACAAGTTCCCTCCTTTCATCACAAATTCACAATATAATTCAAATTCTGTGAAACCTTGTCAAAATATTTGCAACTACAGTATTTCCTCAAAATGTTGGTAAAAATATTATGAAAATGAGCAATGTTTGTCACATATGATTAGAAAGTATGAAGTTTTATTACCTTGCCCGTACCATCAAAGATGGAAGGGAAAGGTATATTAAGGGAAAGATTTTGTCCGGCGTTGTCGTCGTCGTTGTCGTCGTTAATAATTGTTATTGTGTGCCTGATAACTTTACTAATTCTATTCCAAACTTCATCAAACTTGGTCACCTTGTTCATCAGTATAAAGTCTTCCCTGAGTTTGAACAACAGATGTCCTGTATGAAAATATCATGCAAAAATTGAGAAAAACTGATAAAATATTTCGACTGTTTCTACTTGACTGATCACTGGTGATACACATCAAAGGTCACTGATCTCAGTGGAAATATGCATTGTTGTATGTGTTCAATGAAGCAAATGATTTATC